AAATTACACAAACAGAGGTCTGACCACTCTTAAGGACACAGCCACAGAACATGCACATCTTTATACACTGATGAGCTGAAAGAAGGTCACTAAGGTCCAGCAGCATCAACAAAACACAGGTCACCGGGGAGAAGAGAAAGCAAAAATGTGAACAGCGCCCTTTCACTGGGACTAGATGGTCTGAAACAGAACTATAAATCCTCAAATTCCTGTAGAAAATTCTTTTGCAGGGCAGCACTACCCATTATTAGCAAGAAGGAGCAAAGGGAAAAGCTTATTTCACAAACATTGGTGTTACATGACCAGAAAGAAACAGAGAAGATGGGAGGCAGGAGCTGCTATGAAATACCAGGTCACTCACTCAGTGATTTGTTTACTGGTTGCAGTAAAAATTCTGTCACTGAATAGCATCCAGCGCAGTCAGGAGGTGTCATCAAGCTGTTTTTCAGAATTGACAACTAGAATAATTTGAGGTTTCAATTCCAAGTTTTATTTCAACAGAGGTTTCATACGAATAATGATTCAAATAATGTTCTGACCAAAAACTGGTGGCACGTTTTGTTTCAGGAGGAGCTCTTTGACTGCAGTCCTCATTCAGCTTCCATGATGCTCTCTGTTGCCCTTTCCTACATGATAGGCACCAATGGCATAAAGGATATAAAACGAAAGCAACAGAAATAGGGGGAAAAAAGGTCTAATAGTGATAAAAGAGCAGACTGGCTAACACAGCACAAGCCATATTCCAGAGACAAAGAAGTATGGAGCATGTGTATAGACCTGCCAGAAATCACATATTTCACTGCTTTATTTACTGGTCCTATAATAATCTGCAATGAAAAAATATGCAATGCTGTTTTAATAAGAATGTATAGTTTGGACTACAATTCAGTCTTTCTGAGGATTAGAAAAATAAAATTCCAACAAACAGAGAAAAACAACTGCTGTTTTGACCAATAAAATATTAGCAATCTTGACATAGAAATAGATTCTTCTCTATACATGGTAGTAATAATAACAACACAATATTTCCACATTGTTGCTAAACAAAACACATTGATGAGTTTTTGCAACTGGAAATGAGAAACATAATTGGGATGGTGGTTGTAGATGATGCTGTATCCCATTTGAATATATATTTGATGTAAGAATAACAGTATACCGTTTCAGTTATGGAAATATCATGGGGAGCCATGTTGGTTGTAGGTCTTGTTTCAGATGATCCCCTTTCGTACAACAAAAAGCATCACAGTAATGACTGATTTAGTTGTTTTTTTTCTTACTTATCAAGCATTCAAGACATGATTGAAAAACATGAAACAAGGAGTTTATTAGAGGAGTATCCATACGAACACATTAAGAGCTCAGAAAAACATGACAAAACAGGAAGAAGGTACATCACAACAAATCTCTCACAGAAACTAATGATTTCATTAAAATGTGTTTAATAGGTCTGACTAATCACTATGAGCAGGTTCACTCTGGCTGCTTTGAGACAGTTTATTCCATTGCTGTCCTGCAGAGGACTTAGCAGGACACAAATCCAGGCTGTCATAAAAACTTCTTCATTCTAGTATCTTCATATTTCTCAATTTCTGTACTATGTCTCAGTACGTGCAGCTTGCTTCTGAGTTTCTCTAGACCACAGAAATTGCATTAGTATCTCAGTGTCATGCATCCCTTGAGTTTATCCCAGTGTCTCTCCCAGTCACTTCTGTTTAGCTGGGCATCACTTTCCAACAGCATTCCAACAGAAAATACGAATCTGGATAGAATTTTTCATCTGAAATAAGGCATGTGAGTAACTCATTGCCTGTCTCTCGCTAGCCTGAAGCAAAAGAGCAGGCTAGTTCACCAAGTACAGTAGCATGCCTGCCTCTCTGCACACCTTTCTGCCCCCATGAACATGCTGTGTATTGAAAGGCCTTCACTTTTAATCTTCAACTCGCTTCAAATCCATTTGTTCCTATGACATTTTCCAGTTCTTGACTTTCTAGTATTTGCACTATTCTCATTTGAAAAAAGCAATCTGAGCAGAGGGAATCAGAGCAGGCTGTGTTCAGCTACAGCAGACTGTCACTGTAGAGCTGGTTCAGAAAATACAGACAGGCTGATGAATGCAAATACCACAGAGTCCTCTCACAGAGTAGTGCTGACCGAGGGTTTCAATCACTAGGAACTTTGATTTTTATCTGGTGATTTTCATCCCTAAGTACTTCTCTACACACATTCCTAGATCCAGCATGCTCATTCAGGAGCCTATAATACAAGCCTTTTAAAGGCTGCAGGAGAGACCTCGGTGATACTTGAACTAATGTAGCTTGGAAGCCTCCCTTTCCTCTCTGCCTCACCTTTTTACCAAACGAAATACAGGCTGAGTCACATGAAGCACAATCAGACATCAGTGTGAAGGAGGAAGTAGCAAATGCTCCCTCGTTTAGCAATAGCGAACACATCAGCCAGAAAGGTGACTGCCCTGCCAGGGCTGAGCAGAAATATTTACAAGTGCAGGGCCAGGGGAATGTCCCGCAGAACTCCAGTCCCACCCACAAGGTGCAGTGGAGTTATCCCTGTTTGCCTCGCTACCAGCAGGCACCGCTCCCTGTGTCCTGCAGGGCTGGGAGCTCGCCCAGGAGCAAGGGACTGACACCAGGTAAACAAACAAATGCACCGAATAAACTGAACAAAACTGCAGTGACCCGGGCTCTCCGTGCCTGTGGACAATGGAAGGGGGCACTTATCTACAGGATCCGCCTATTTTCCACACCTCTCTCCTCCCAGGGAACCCTTCCCACCCCTGTACAGCACCCGTCCCCATCGCTGCCGCCGCCTTATGGTGGGGGTTGTTATAAATGATCAAATCTGTAGTCAAATTTATGAAAAATTTAAAAAAATTTATTAGATCGATAACAAAAAATAGAAATTTCGAAACAAAAAAAGCCCAACCACAGCCAAGACAGCGTCTGCCCCGGGTACAGAAGCTGGGTGACCTAGGGTTCCGGCTGACAGAGAGACTGCGATTCCCTCAGAGGTTCACCCTGAGTGTTTTCAGCAGCCAGCTTATATACAGTTTATTCTGCCTGAGGTAGAGATGACCACATATTTCTCTGTGTCCCTTTGCATGTAAAGTTGGATCCATACATGTTTAGAAACAGACAAAGACGAAGTCCAAACCCAGACGAATGTCGGAGTGCCCCGGCAGAAGGTGCATTCATATGTAGTAGGTGATGCCAACACCTGAGTACCGTAGATTTAATCATATCCAGATGGCAGGTCTTGTGAGCTTTCCTCAGGACATTCCATTCCAGGAAGGTCCAGATGATATCTTCTAAGTTCGTGGTGACACAGGAAACCTCTGATGGCCCAAGCCAGTCCCATTCATACGGTAACCGATCTGGTATTGTCCCAGCGCTGTCCGGGGAGTGGCTATGATGTGCATAACTCTGTCCTTCAGGGCGACTGCAGGCTTAGCTCACGGCCCAGGCCTCCCCTATTCATATGACAACAGGTTTGATATTATTTTTCTCCTTGACCAGGAACTGGTTATAATTTGAATAGAAGGCAGTCCCCGGCCAGAGTAGTTACAAGCATAGGTTTTGGTCCCTCCTAATATTTTATACATGTATATATCTGTTTCTACAGCATGAATTATCTCTACTACATATAACAGGGCTACCTGAGGATTTACTTTGTGAAGCAGGACGCAATGTGATGCTAAATCAGCTTAGCTGTAGAGGGAGTCTGTCGTCAGACGGTGCTCCGGCTTCTTCTCTTGTGCTTAGCGAGAGGAGAGCGTGAGGAAGACAAGCGCGCATTCCGAGGGTTAACGCTGCCTGGAGGAGGCTGTGAAAGGGCGCTCGGCAGCCACGCAATCCCTGCCGAGCGCTGAGCACACGTGAGCAGGAGTCGGGAAGTCAGAAGGCGCTCACTTCTGCCAACAGCACCGAGTCATGTTCCTTGCGCCCTAACAGGACAGCTTTTCCTAGGGCGCGGGGAGGAATTTAAAGATACAGTGCTTTTCCTCCCCAAACAGCAGAGTGTTTCCCATTACTTCCACTACATGGATTGTGGAGGGATCCGGTTTGATACTTGCACAGAATACAATCTTATTTTTAAGACATTCCCTTGTCAAAAAACACCAATGTATTTTGCCTCCTACAAGTCTGTATTTTTTCAATGATGTTGGTCAGATTAAGTATAAACAATGTTTGTACTTCCAAGCAAACCTGCAGAACAAACTACAGAACTGGGCACACATGGAAATCTTAGCTGGGAAACACAAAGTAATCCAGCCCACTTGCCTAAAGCACATTCTGCAGGGCCCACATCCTCACACGTGCCAGCCTGGCCCACCGGCTCCAGCTGTTCCCTCCCCTTACCCAACTCCTGCTGGCACAGTCCCGGCTCTCCCTTGCACCAGTAGGAGCAACCATTCCATGGGAACACAGACATGCCTCTGAGAAATTGCTTCTTTTGAGCCTTTGTGACACAAACACTTGTCAACAATTCTGTGCTAGGGAGGTTTTCCCCATCCTAAAAATGTGGCCAGAAAGATTAGAGTCCTCCAACTGTGAGTTAGGCCATGGTATGATAACACACTGCAGTGTGCTGAGCTGAATAACTGTTTTTTGAAGGAACATATTTTGAGACTATTTTTCATTTTCCAAGGAAGCAACAATTTTCAAAGTTTCTGGTAATCTCTTGTTTACAAAAGTGGCTGTTCAGAAATGGGGTGGGAACAGTGCTGTGGAAATGGCTTTGAATACTCCAACAAAAATTTCAAATAATTAAAAACTGTTTTTTATTGGGGTACAACGCACTTAATCCTACACCAGTAAAGTCAGAGGAATTTATTTTCTGTTGTTCCCAGTGTTTCTATTGTTCACAGGCCAAACCTATGCCAACCAAATCTACCATATAAAAATTCATGCACAACATTCAGCAGAGTATTGATTTTTGCTGCAAAATCAAGTCAATAAATCAAAGTGCAGTAACTATGCCATTAGATAAGGCAACTAGAAAAATAGAATGCCATTTTAATTATGAATATCACTATTAATTACCATTATTTGTGTTTAATTAGTGTTACAGAAAAGAGCAGATGAAAGCTTGAATGATCTGCAGTGAAATCATGCTGAAGCTTGATCCATGGATGGAAGGTCCTTTTCATACCACCTCCCAAAGAGTGTTACACTCAAAACTGGCTTTGACGTCGTATTCCGATTTATCAGACGTCCATCAGCCAGCACCTGGTTATGAAAAAGCAAAATAAGCAGGAGCATCATCAAAGCACTACTACTGTATTGATGACAAAACACAAAATCATATATTCAGTAATGTTGATCTAGTCAAAAGATCTCCAATCTCCTCTCTTGGAGCTGTCAGGAAGGCTGAGAAAAACTACATTTCTGTCTTGAGGGAGATCTGGTTCTAGAGGATTCGGGGGAACAGGGCAGAAGAGAATTGGCAAGGTGGATTAACTATTTGAATACAACCAAGAAAATCAGGGAGAAATAAAGCTGCCTTGAACTGAAGGCAGAGTACAGAGGACTCTGGTAACAGCTAAGTTGCTCTTGTAGTGGCTTTTTGACCACTGATGTCTGACAAATCACAAGGGTGTCCCATTACCTCGAACTCCCCAGGGGCCAGCTGCACCCCGCTGTACAGCACTTCTGGGAAGATGTAGCTGGTGCCAAACGTGCCACTGAGGGAGAACATGTCAAACTTGGTCTGAGCCGTCTCCACGGGCTGCCCACATGTACTCAGGTTTGTGCTGGGGCACTTGAGCAGAGTGCAGATCTGTCGGGAGGAGGAGACAACAAGGTATTTAGCAAGATGGTGCCTTGTGTCATCAAAGCTAATGTGCGTCAGAGCAGGTGATAGTCACAGGATCTTCTTCATAACTCTTGGGTGACTTCTTTTCAGTTGTAGCTTATTTTTTTACCACTTGTTCTGACTGGGTGTATTCCAGAACTTAGTCTCATAATTTTATAAATAAACTTAGTCTTATCATTTTTGAAATAAATTGGTTTTGACATAAGTGCAGCCAGAGCACCTTATTTCATTTCTGAAGCCTGATCCTGTTCCTCCCACAATTCTTTAAATTGCCAATTGTCTTATTTGAAGGTTTTTTCCCCGCAGGTCTTAGTAAGATGAGTTTGTGAATGGAAATTTTAGGCAAACAAAACAAAGTCTTCCACATGGGTACAATGTACAAGTGCACATCCAGGTCCTCTTACTGCTAATTATGTATGTTGCTAATGATACTTCATTAGATGGCCTGGTAGTCCATGGAAGTCTGAATTTGATGTTCCCTGTCCAGATCCTAGTTAATATAGGCCAAGGAGATGAAGTTAGCATCTTTGGTTACAGTTTTGTGTTAGTAGTTGCAGCACATAGAGTAAAGTAGGAATCACAATGTTGTTTCCCTTTGTCATGAGAGTTAATTATCCAGCTGATAAGTGTTTATGGTCTTCATGAGGAAATATGAACTAGGACTAGCATTCCTCTGATTCAGGAATGATTTGAAGGATGTTGTCTGGTTTTGCTGATAGGTGATGGAGTTTTTCTACATGTCTGGTATTGGGGGATAGAAGCATATTTGCAAAAATTCAGAAGTATTATTCATCAGTAAATATGGTTTTGTGTTGAAATGCAAATAAGCAGAGAAATAAGGTGTAAGTTCCGAGGAAATGAAAAAAAAATTGAGGTAAAAAGGAAGAGTAGAAATTCCTGTCTTCTCTAGAACTTTTAATTCTGGCAGAGACTACCTGGCTCACCAAGAACTGCATTTATTCAAGTTACCTTCCTAGTATTAGATGAGCTGTTTGCTGGATAACACCTCCCCTCATATCCCAGAGTCTGTACCAGCTGGTACAAAATAGTGATGCTGACAGATAGAAGTAACTAAAAAAAAAAGTATAATCTGCTTAATCATGACGGCAAAGGATGTTTTTAAATATGGCTTTAAGGAAATTCAACCAGGATGTAGCTCACTGTCTTTCCAAATATTTGATTAAAAGAGAGGAAGAGAGAATATTTCCACTAAAAGTCATAAGCCATTTAAGTGAGCTTCATTGCTATGATTTGGATAATGACAAAAAATTAACATCTCTCTGACCCTAACTTATCAGAGCATCTCATATAGATAGCTATGATCAACTGATTTTTAACAGCATCTCTTTGATGAAAATACAGTGAGACCACATCTGGAGTACTGTGCCCAGGCTCCTCTTCCTTCCAGCACAAGAAAGAAAAGGAGCTACTGGACAGTGTCCGGCTGAGGCCACAAAGATGATTAGGAATGAGGAGCTTCTCTCTTATGAGGAGAGACTGTGAGAGCTGGGCCTGTTAAGTCTAGAGAAGACTGAGAAGTGTCTCATAAATACATACAAATATCTCAAAGGTGTGTGCCAAGAAGATGGTGCCAGGCTCTTTTCAGTGATACCCAGCAACAGGATGAGGAGCAATGGCCATAAAAACACAAGAAGTTTCACCTCAACATAAGGAAGAAGAACTTTTTCACATTTAGGGTGGCAGAGCATCAGGTCAGGCAGCCCAGGGAGTGGGTGGAGATAGAATGTAAGAATCACCAAAGATTAGGAACAGGCCTGCCCTTAACAGGCCACAGCTGTGTCCAATAAGAAGACGAGTGCTACAAAAGGGTGGGTTAGCTGGGTGAAGAGAGAGTTGGAGTGTGTTGGTTGTGCTGTGAAGAAGAAGGAGTCAGTGCTGTGAGGAGATGACTGTGAGAAATCACCCAGAAGGTATGGGACTTCTGCACTACGATAACAAGGAAGGTCTTGGATGCTCCCCTTCTGGAGGCATTCAAAAGCCACCCAGATGTGTTTCTGTGGAATCTGCTTTAGGTGACTTTGCCTTGGTAGAGGAATTGGACTATGTGATCTTCAGATGTCCCTTTCAATCCTAACTATTCTGTGATACAGAGGAGATTCAGAAGACTTACTGCAGATATTCACAGAAGAGAATGTAAATTTAGCCAATATTGCACACCCCCAAAATAGTGAGTGCACTCTGGGCATTTAGAGGAGGTTTAGAGACCTCTCTACTGCATTTGTTGGATTTGAAGGCAAATAGACTTGGAAGTTTTAGCAACTTCTTTCCATTACTAACAAAAGGTGCCGTAGGATCCAGCACAGAAGACAGGCATTGTCTTCCCTTTTTCCACCACAGAGCTGAAGGCTTCTCCCTGTAAATAAGCTTCCTAAAGGAATAGCCCCCTCCAGAGAATTACCTGCAGATAGTACTGTCCTTCAAAAACATGAAGGCCATCAAAAGCACCCAGCACATAAACTTCATCATCTCTTTTCTCTGCCATCTTGTAGCTCAAGTGACAGCAGAGGTCTTTTTGGCAGACAGTGACATTCCCCCCAGGCTTAGTGAGCTCTGTGAAAGTAAAGGGATCTTCAAAGATGATTCCTGTGAATTCATGGCCATTCTGTGAGACTCTTTCAACACTCAAAGCATATGAGTTCCAGCTGACAGCAGGTGGGGAGGCAGGAGAAAGACGAGGGTGTGCATCTAATTCAGCAATGAGGAGGTGACCATCTTCAGTTTTCATGTTGTAGGTGTATGTTCTGGCTCCAGTTGGTGCATAAATTCCACTCCCTGAGGAGAGCACAACAGTCAGTCCAAGAGGAATTTAAAAAATCATGTTGTCCTTCTAGTTGTCTCTACTGATTGCTTATCCACAATTCTACACAGATTACAGTAATTCTAGTCTCATGAAAGATGACAGTTAGCAACTCAGTACACAGAGCTCATGCTTTGGCGAAGAATATAATTTATTCCCTTAGAGAAGGTCTGCTCAATGTAGCCAGAGGATGTTTGGGTCTTTATGTTATGATTATATTTATGGCTTCCTCAGTTCTCTTTTCCCCTGTGTGCAATAGAGTTGATAATTCCTTTTTTCTTGGCTGATTGATGTGAAAGGACCAGCTACTGATTGAGACAATCCAAAACACAACACAGGCAAGTATCACAGGCCTGTCCATGAACAGAAGGAGACAGTAACTGTCCAGCCCCCTTTACACTGGCTGAGAACTCCTCCCCTCATGAGTGATTCACAGCTGACCAGCACCAAGCAACAGAGGGAAATCAAAGGTCTGTCATACCCATCACTGCAGAAGCCTGTCAGGCATTTCAAATGAACAGTCCCAAAACCAGACTGTGGTTACGCAGGTCAGTGAAGATACTGGTCTAATTGAAATATACTATTCCATAACCTGAGCTGTAAAAAAAATCAATGCTACATTCTAAAATGAAAACGTGGACATCTTAGCAGTGTTACTACAACAGGCCTGAACATCCTGAACATGTGTTTTTAATGGTTTTCTGTAATAGTGTTAAATACAGCTATAAAAATAAATATTTCATTTCACAGAATAAATGTAGCCACATATATGGTTTATATTTACAGTTTGAGTATATTTACAGTTTGGAATTCAACCACAGACTTATAAATGGAGATGAAAAGAGCCTTAAAAACCATGAAAATTTCTGTTCAGGCATAAGGGCAGTGACCTACTACTTATTTAGAGCCATTAAAAGGAAAGATAATCCTAAGAAGCTAGGGAAAATAAAACACTACAAGTTTTGGTGTGTCTTTATGAAACCAATAGGAACAGGATTCATCAGCTTTAATATTTGGTGACTAGACTCTTCACCTTCCAGAGAAATACATTATATTCCTCTGCAAAATCACTTCATAGAACGGGGAATAAGAGATTCATGGTTATAAAGATCCTTGCACAGAGTGAAAATGAAGTTACCTGTCATTTCCATGCTGGTGTTGTGAGTATTGGCAGCTAAGACATTGACACCCATGCCCATAGCCCAGGCAGAGTGAAACTCAATTGCAGTCAGAAAGGGCAGGACATTCATCCAAGCTGTTGGGAAGAGCACGGTGTCCACCTGCATCTTGCTCACCAGGACCACAGCAGGCTCATAGAAAAGGATGTCAAAGCAAGTGAAAATGCCAAACTTCCCAAAAGCAGTCTCAAAGGTGACAGCTTCTGGCTCTTTTGGATAATTAAACTGATTTTCTCCTAGAAAGAGATTATACTGTAGGGGAAGGAAAATAGAGAAACCAGTTAGAGGCACACTAACCATGTGTCTTGGATTCATTCCCTAAAGCTGCTCACAATGACTAGAGATAAATTTTGATCTCTGTTGGAAGCCCTCACAGGTAGCAAATCAGGCTAAAATTATATGATCATCATACCCAAAATATGGAATGCATATTGCATACTGCCCTGGTATCTAGCTAGGAAAGCAGCCAGCTGCCTTCAGGTCTGTTGGTGTCACCTGCATAACAATAATCTCTCCACTCTCCCCACCTAGTTTATATTTCTGACAACCCAAATGCAACCAGAGGAGAAATAATAATGTAAAAGAAGTATGGGGGATCTGGTGCCAAGAGACAAAATTGGTGACTTTGGTGTGGAGATGCCCAGAAGCACTGAAGTACAGAGCACCAGCAAGAACCACAAGACAGTATTTGGGATGCTGCAGAGTGAAAAACAAAGGCTGTGCTGATGGGAGAAAGGCAGATGATCTCAGCCAACAGAAAAACTGAAGTTTTTGACATCCTCAGCTTTCCAACATTTACCTTCTTCCTTCACATACATATTTATTAAGAGTCTTTGATAAATGTCCAGGTGGTCTGAAAGTAAATATGGATACCAAGCCAGAAAAGAAGTTAAAGTTTACTTAACTTGTAATTCAGCACCTGGGCCATAGCAGGCTGAGGGACAGACTTGCTTTATCAGTGTTTCATTCACCCAGTTTGCTCACAAATAGATATCTTGGCATCTTTTCTCTAAACAGCCAGATGAAATATTGGGCCCAAAGTGCATTAAATAAACTGACTTCACTCTACCCACACTGCCAGGATATCTAGCACATAATTCATAAACAGCTTTGATGGAACTGGCAGGTAGGCACATAATACTGAAAGAGGAATTTCCATTTGGTGCAAATGACCAATATCCTTATCTCTTTTTACACCCATCTGGCATTTTCACTTGCTTTGCTATGTCGAAACAATTCCCATTGTGCAAAAACTGTGCCAAAACAGCATCAGAAATAAAGGTCCTGCCTCTCTGAAGTCAGACTGCTCACCTACGATGAAATGGACGTGAACACTGAAATCCTGGAACATGAAGTGGTAGTCTGCTGAAAAGCTGGCACTGAAAACTGAAGCTGCTCAAGCAGCAGAATTTACAGTAGTAGCGAGCTAATGAACTGAGGAAGTCAGCCAAAACCATATGCCACTAAATTGCACCAGAACAATCATTTTTCATTCCAGTCTGTTTTGAGAAACATGACAGCAAATGCAAATTTGGCATTGACACTTCATAGCAAGAGAGATATTCTTTTAAATTATAAAGAAAAACAAAACTCTGACAGTGGACAATGACTGGCATCTAATTCTCTTCCCAAACCTAGATATTTTGGAAGTAGGGGAAAATTAATTTCTGTCTCTCCAAGACCACTTTACCTTATGGTAGCGAGCCACCAGTTTCCCCTGTGCATCAAAGACAACATCCGTGTTGTAGTGGTACCGACCGTCCCTGGGGCAGCTGGGATCACTGGAGTCACACGGCTTCTTGTCCCCAATATTTGCAACCACATAGATGGAGTTATTTCTGGCCATGCAGCTGAGTCGTTCCTGCACTGGTGCTGGACCAAATCTAACGTATTTTCAGGAAGGAAAAAACCAAAATTAACAAAACCTGTGCTGTCAGTGGTGTCCATTTCCACAGTACCTGAGGGCACACCAGCAGCATCTCCAACCCTGCAGCCATGGCAGGGTAGGCAGATACACAGAGATGCTGCAGTGCTTCCTCAGATTGCTTCCTGCACCTTGCGGTAGGCCCTGGAGACCTCCCTTTGGCCTCTGCAGGGACATGCCTGCCAGTCTCCTTCAGCACCTGGAACATGCTCTGCAGTAAACAGATAATCCTTGGGCTGGAAAAGGGCAGGAGAGCAATCTCTGGGCAGAGGAAGACACTAGCTTGGTGTCACACAAGCAAATATTTTAGCATCAGGCATGCTGACACCTGAGGGCTGCAGCTCTGGGCCTTTAGCACACTAAGCAGGGTTGAGCTGTGGGATAATGCAGATGATATGGTCAAGGCAATACAGCATTCATTTCCTCCCATAGACAGGCGCACACAAACCTGTAACCATGACATGAAGAGCAGTGGGCTGTTAATTTCAAGACATGACAGTGTCCATGTGCCAGAAACTGGCAGCACCTCTGAAGCATCCATACCAGGCCATAAAGAGAGCAGCCATTCATTCCCCTTTATAGTGTGGCAATGCCTATGGCTTTGCAAGGTGTGCATGGGCCACACAAGGACGACCTCCATGCAAGATACACACACAGCACTAGGAGTAAGGCAAGCCAGACACTGATGGCAAGTGTTATATTCCCAAAAGCTGCTAGTGAAACCTTTGATTTGGAACAGTGAGGAGGCATTCAGATCACCTCTGCTAAGCCTGTATGATGCACCAGAATAAAGACCTGCTTAGACACATTGCCACCCCACACTCCACCTTCAATGAAAGACTGTATACTTTAGCTACTTATATCTCAGCAAAAAGTTGCACATCCCTGCACTGAGTTACTATATCCCCACTGATACATTAACCTGCTCTCATCAAGGAAGTGCAGAAAGCCATGATGAAAAGGGCAGACCACGGCTGTAATTCCATAGCTGAACACGTATTACATGCTGCAGGAGTCTAAAGTCCAGTCCTCAGCTATAGCTTAGTTTGTCACTGCTGAAACATGCTGCTTGAATGACAGATCATGTTCTACAGCACAGAGACTCTAGCAATTTTGACTTTATCTAACCTTAACTGTGGAAAACCAAGATTAAAAATTCCTGGGATTTTATCATTTAGAAGTTTGGACTTTAATTACTGACTTCATCATCTCTTATTATCTGCTCAGAGACTACTTCATGGCTGTCCACAAAAATGATTTGTGTGCTTTTGTTTCAACATGTCATTTGTAAAAGACAAACAAACCAAAAAATCAAAGAAATACTACTGTTAATAATTTACAGTCAGTTCTATTCAAAATAGTGTGGAAAAATTGAAAGCAGAAGAAGAAGCAGGATATATTCTGGCATCAAAAAAAGAGATTTCCTCAACTTTTAGTAACCCAAAATCTGTATATTGTTTGAATTTCTCCTTAAAGTTTCTAATTAAAAAAAAAAATCTTAATGTTTCCCGCATTGAATAGTCATGGACATGGTATATATTTAACCATTTAACTACCTCCATACTCAGTTTTAATTAAAACTTATGTCAGAGTCACTAGCAGTTCTTAGTCATTCAATGTGAGCTGCTTAAGACTCCATGAGACAGATAAAAGGTTGAAATCACCTAAACCACTGCAGAAGGAATCACCTTGAGGGGTCAGTGCAGGGAATCCAGTCCACCGCTGGATCAGGGATATCCTCCAGGTAGGGGTAGATGGATTCCCTTGTGAATCGCCAGCCATAGATGCCGTCCTCAGGAGTCACAATGATGTGGGCACCCTGTCACAACAGGCTCCGTTTAAAGGGCACCCATCAACAGACAGCCAGGAGGGTCAGCAGGAGCAGGAAACACTGATGGACAGCCCTTGTACCTGCTGGGCAGCTTCCTTGATGGCCCCTTCCAAGACATCCATGTTTCTGTTCATCAGGGCCAAAGCATCGCTGGCAGGGACGGGCTCCTGGGTGTCATGTGGCAGGATGACGGCGTGCTCGTAGACAGCTGCCAGGAAGGTGTCGGAGGCGAGGGCCCGAAGGGCTGCGAGTGCAAACAGCACAGCGGGCAGGAGAGCCTGGGAAGGGAGCATGGCTGCAGCTTCCCAGCTCCTGGAGTGCTCTGGACAAACAGTGCAAAAGCAACATGCACAGAAAAGAGAAGGGGGACAAAGTTTACTTTGAAAGGGGGAGGAGCGAACTGCAGGTCTGTTAAAGCATTACCTTGGAACCAAGTGTGAGATATAAGACAGTATTGCAGTACACAGTAAGGATGACACAACTGAACAAACTAAAAATGCTGGGCAATGCCAAGACTAATAGGGCCAGTTAAAAAATAAGTCATTAAAATCATATCTAGAAAGTACAGACCCATTTTTGTTGTTATACTCTTCTCTATCACTGATTACAGCAAGACTTTTTCTGTGTGGACTGAGCTGATACCCAGCTGGATATTGCCACCAGTGGAGCTAGCCTTCTGTGAATTTTGAGTGACAAAACTCAGGGTAAAAAAACTTCTTTATTCTAGTATCTTGGTATTCCTCAATTCCTATGCTATGTCTCAGTATGTACAGGTGGCTTCTGAGTTTCTCTAGACCACAGAAATTACATTAGCATCTCGCTGTTCTTAGATGTCATGCACCCAACAGGCCAGCAACAGAACTGTCCCTTGAGTTTATCCCAGTGTCTCTCCCAGTCACTTCTGTTTAGCTGAACATCACTTTCCAAGAGTATTCCAACAGAAAATACGAATCTGGATAGCATTTTTCATCTGAAATAAGGCATGTGAGTAACTCATTGCCTGTCTCTCGCTAGCCTGAAGCAAAAGAGCAGGCTAGTTCACCAAGTACAGTAGCATGCCTGCCTCTCTGCACACCTTTCTGCCCCCATGAACATGCTGTGTATTGAGAGGCCTTCACTTTTAATCTTCAACTCGCTTCAAATCCATTTGTTCCTATGACATTTTCCAGTTCTTGACTTTCTAGTATTTGCACTATTCTCATTTGAAAAAAGCTATCTGAGCAGAGGGAATCAGAGCAGGCTGTGTTCAGCTACAGCAGACTGTCACTGTAGAGCTGGTTCAGAAAATACAGACAGGCTGATGAATGCAAATACCACAGAGTCCTCTCACAGAGTAGTGCTGACCGAGGGTTTCAATCACTAGGAACTTTGATTTTTATCTGGTGATTTTCATCCCTAAGTACTTCTCTACACACATTCCTAGATCCAGCATGCTCATTCAGGAGCCTATAATACAAGCCTTTTAAAGGCTGCAGGAGAGATCTCAGTGATACTTGAACTAATGTAACTTGGAAGCCTCCCTTTCCTCTCTGCCTCACCTTTTTACCAAACGAAATACAGGCTGAGTCACATGAAGCACAATCAGACATCAGTGTGAAGGAGGAAGTAGCAAATGCTCCCTCGTTTAGCAATAGCGAACACATCAGCCAGAAAGGTGACTGCCCTGCCAGGGCTGAGCAGAAATATTTACAAGTGCAGGGCCAGGGGAATGTCCCGCAGAACTCCAGTCCCACCCACAAGGTGCAGTGGAGTTATCCCTGTTTGCCTCGCTACCAGCAGGCACCGCTCCCTGTGTCCTGCAGGGCTGGGAGCTCGCCCAGGAGCAAGGGACTGACACCAGGTAAACAAACAAATGCACCGAATAAACTGAACAAAACTGCAGTGACCCGGGCTCTCCGTGCCTGTGGACAATGGAAGGGGGCACTTATCTACAGGATCCGCCTATTTTCCACATCTCTCTCCTCCCAGGGCACTCTTCCCACCCCTGTACGGCACCCGTCCCCATCGCTGCCACCGCCTGGTGGTGGGGGCTACCTGAGGATTTACTTTGTGAAGCAGGACGCAATGTGATGCTAAATCAGCTTAGCTGTAGAGGGAGTCTGTCGTCAGACGGTGCTCCGGCTTCTTCTCTTGTGCTTAGCGAGAGGAGAGCGTGAGGAAGACAAGCGCGCATTCCGAGGGTTAACGCTGCCTGGAGGAGGCTGTGAAAGGGCGCTCGGCAGCCACGCAATCCCTGCCGAGCGCTGAGCACACGTGAGCAGGAGTCGGGAAGTCAGAAGGCGCTCACTTCTGCCAACAGCACCGAGTCATGTTCCTTGCGACCCAACAGGACAGCTTTTCCTAGGGCGCGGGGAGGAATTTAAAGATACAGTGCTTTTCCTCCCCAAACAGCAGAGTGTTTCCCATTACTTCCACTACATGGATTGTGGAGGGATCCGGTTTGATACTTGCACAGAATACAATCTTATTTTTAAGACATTCCCTTGTCAAAAAACACCAATGTATTTTGCCTCCTACAAGTCTGTATTTTTTCAATGATGTTGGTCAGATTAAGTATAAACAATGTTTGTACTTCCAAGCAAACCTGCAGAACAAACTACAGAACTGGGCACACATGGAAATCTTAGCTGGGAAACACAAAGTAATCCAGCCCACTTGCCTAAAGCACATTCTGCAGGGCCCACATCCTCACACGTGCCAGCCTGGCCCACCGGCTCCAGCTGTTCCCTCCCCTTACCCAACTCCTGCTGGCACAGTCCCGGCTCTCCCTTGCACCAGTAGGAGCAACCATTCCATGGGAACACAGACATGCCTCTGAGAAATTGCTTCTTTTGAGCCTTTGTGACACAAACACTTGTCAACAATTCTGTGCTAGGGAGGTTTTCCCCATCCTAAAAATGTGGCCAGAAAGATTAGAGTCCTCCAACTGTGAGTTAGGCCATGGTATGATAACACACTGCAGTGTGCTGAGCCGAATAACTGGTTTTTTTGAAGGAACATATTTTTGAGACTACTTTTCCAAGGAAGTTAAAATTTTCAAAGTTTCTGGTAATCTCTTGTTTACAAAAGTGGCTGTTCAAAAATGGGGTGGGAACAGTGCTGTGGAAATGCCGTTGTATACTCCAACAAAAATTTCAAATAATTAAAAACTGTTTTTTATTGGGGTACAACGCACTTAATCCTACACCAGTAAAGTCAGAGGAATTTATTTTCTGTTGTTCCCAGTGTTTCTATTGTTCACAGGCCAAGCCTATGCCAACCAAATTTACCATACAAAAATTCATACACAACATTCCAGCAGAGTATTGATTTTTGCTGCAAAATCAAGTCAATAAATCAACGTGCAGTAACTATGCCATTAGATAAGGCAACTAGAAAAACAGAATGCCATTTTAATTATGAATATCACTATTAATTACCATTATTTATGACTAATTAGTATGACAGAAACGAGCAGATGAAAGCTTGAATGATCTGCAGTGAAATCACGCTGAAGCTTGATCCATGAATGGAGGGTCATTTTCACACCATCTCTTAGGATGTTACACTCAAAACTGGCTTTGATGTCGTATTCCGATTTATCAGACGTCCATCAGCCAGCACCTGGTTATGAAAAAGCAAAATAAGCAGGAGCATCATCAAAGCACTACTACTGTATTGATGACAAAACACAAAATATATTCCGTAATGTTGATCTAGTCAAAAGATCTCCAATCTCAATTGGAACTGTCAGGAAGGCTGAGAAAAACTACATTTCTGTCTTGAGGGAGATCTGGTTCTAGAGGATTTGGGGGAACAGGGCAGAAGAGAATTGGTAAGGTGGACTTACTGTTTGAATACGACCAAGAAAATCACGCAGAAATAAAGCTGCCTTGAACTGAAGATAGAGTACAGAGGTAACAACTGCTAATTCTGGTAACAGCTAAGTTGCTCTTGTAGTGGCTTTTTGACCACTGATGTCTGACAAATCACAAGAATGTCCCATTACCTCGAACTCTCAATTCTGCAATCACACGCACACAAAATCGGTGCTTGACGTCTAGCATCTGCTCAGCAAAAATATACAGTGAAAACAAAGCCTGCAAAGAAAATGTAACACTCTAAGTCTCCAGCCCAGAACTACTATTTGCAGAACTCTCAAGAACATTTCTCAGAGTTAGGGCTCCATCTAGTGGAAAAAATGAAGTTTTACATGGCCAAAATACCAATAAAACACCAGGGTCACAAGATGAAAATAACACTCATAAATTCCCAGTTCTGATTATTTAACAAAGACTAGAGGTGTTGTAGTCAACTTAAGAATTTCCAAATTCTTATATAGCACATTTTTATTTGCTTTTTATCAAGAACTTTGTAAGTTGTCATGCCCTAGGGCTGTTGACATGAATATGCAATGCTTAAAGCTGATGGGAATTTCTGCTCAGGTCAGCTGCACTACAGATACAAATGTTGCCCATGAGAAGGGGGATTAGTTAGAGCACTGTCACATCACCTGTCATATCTAAAGTGGAGTTGTGTGTATTTGCTGAAAGGAAGTTGAGCACCATTCCCAAGGCCCACGCTGAGTGAAACTGGACAGCTGACAACAGTGGAAGGGGTTCACCCAAGCAGGTAGGGACAGAATGGCGTCAATCTGAAATCTGCTCGCCAAGACCACAGCTGGGTCATGGCAGAGTAACTCTTCACAAGTGAAAATACCAAAGTAGCCAAAGGATGTATTGAAAGTCACAAATCCAGGATCCTTGGGTTAATTAAATGGTTTCTCTGTCACAAAAAGGTTGCACTGCTCATGGAAAAGAAAAAAAAAATGAAAAAAGTAAAATATTAGAAAATATCTTGCATCCACCTCCAGTCCCCTCAAGCTCCTTCTCACCTGGCTTATCATCAGCACTGGCATGGTCAGCATTTCCCAGTAAACTGAGGTGTACATTCCTGGTTTCAGTATAGTCTAATGTCTGATACGAAATGGAAAGGAAGCTATTAACAAGATGTTCCATGGGGAAGCCTGCCCTTTAGTACCCTGAAGTTTCACAGCTCATTTGGCTACCACAGCAGTTGTTCTTTCTAGGCCAAAAGAGCTCTGACAGAGAAAGATGTATTTCTTATGTAAAATCCAGGAACTATTCACAGAAGAAACCGACTGGAAGTTGCTAGGACAGACCACTTTTCT